AAAGCAGGGACAAAATGACACAGGGTCGTGTCTCTGGGGTTGATCCAATTCTCTTCAGCAGTAAAGCACATGTAGCTGCCTCCCTGGGCCCCTGCAGAAACAGGAAACTAACATGGGAACCTTCAAAGTTGGCAAAACGGCACGGTCTGTAATGTATCTGTAGCAATTATCAGGGGCAGATATCCCGGAACAGTCTTACTCTGTATTTCCCTCTTGTGATGAAGCTAATCTGTTCTATGTTTCATCTTCAAGGACAAAATGCAGCTTTCGACCCGCCCCCGCTCATTTAAAGGACAGCAGCGTCCCTGGGGTAGTCACACGTGCCTTCCACCAGGATGTGTTCTGAGGCTGAAGCTGGCGGGCTGCCTTCCTCACTGCCCGGCTCAGGTACGGCAGCCCAGAGCATTTTCTGGGTTCATCCGATCCTATTAAGCATTGCAGTTCAATGCCGTTCACTGGTTGCTATAGATTTAAGCAGTCAGGCTGGACATGTTTACATAGGTTTATGATTATTTTTTGGAAGTAGGGGTATTGGTGATGCTGTGAGAGTAATTAACCTCTCAGACAGGAAGGGTGTTGAAGCTTGAATTACCTTTTTGAGAAAAAAACAAACCTTATATGCATTTATTTTATGCTGAGTTTATTCCCAGGCCATATGTTTCTGTTTCTTCAGTTTCTCCTGGGATATCTTTTTCTTCTGGGCAACATTCCACTCTTTTTCAGGAAGAATCGCCCATCTCAATGTGGCAGGAGGGGGTCATGTAGGGGTTAAAACGACCGTGACTGTGTAAGTCTGGAGGTGCATCTCAGGGGCTCCGTTCCCCTGGATGAGCTCAAGACCAAAGAGTGGACATCTACACTCTTAAGCACAGCATTTCTCTGCATTTATAAACTTGTGCAGCAAAGGCTGTGCACTCTTTGGGAGCCACCAACCTTCTGTCCTGCCCCTCTGTTCGGGCTGGCCATCCCACCTCTGCAAGGCTGGAGTGGCACGGGCTGCTTCTGTAAACGGACACCTTTCAGAGACTTGGTTTCTCAGCGATGCGTTCCTCTGGTGGTCTGGGCAGTGTCACAGATAGTCATCAAGTAGACATGGACACGCGAACCTCTTGATTTGTATGATTTTTGGGGGTTTTCTGGGTCACGTGAGTAGCAAACCACTTTCAGAGATCTTTCTAGGCTACATGTGAAAGAACTTGAACTCATTCTTGCATTCGGGTGCTAATAATGACTGTCAAGTAATAAAGTCAGGAAAAAAGAAGGGAGGACAGCCAGATGATAGGTCAGAGAAAGGAAGGGCTGAGAGAAGCTTTTTGTTCAGAGAGTTTGCAGAACCAGGGAGCCTTCGGTCAGCTTCCCATCTCATCTGGGCATCAGGAGGCGAGTCCACAGGAGTCTCCTCCTTCCCTGTGCCAGAGAGTAGCTGAAACCACGGGCTAAACCAGGTGCTTCCCCACGGGGCATCGAATTTCTGCAAAGACTTGAGGCGAAAGACCATTGCTTTTATCTGAAAACGAACCAGGTGAGTCGCAGAGTGGGGAACAAACAGGGCCTGAGAGGGGTGTCGGCTGGTGGCAGGCAAATGTCTGAGTGGCTTGTGGAAGAATTTAGGGAGCCCGAGGTTACCTGGCTCATCATGGTCATCGGCTGGGCCCCACAGCCATCCTGTACTGCCTCCTGGAATATCTTTCCTCTCCGTCTCTCCCTGCTGAGCTGTTTCTGGTAAGCCCAGGTACAGAGGCTCTTTCCTTTCCGAAGAATTCCCTGATGGGCCACCTGTTGACCCCAGACTCTGCCATCTCCTCTCTGTGGCACTCATCGACCCCTAAGGACACCTGAGGCCATGTCTCAACTCCTTTCCCGGCTGGTTCTCCAGGAGGGCGCGGTGTGTGTGGTGTCCCTCGCGCCTGCCGAGCACTCTGCCCTGTTGAAACTTGGATCTCAATAAACACTGCGAGAATGAAGAATGAATGAGCCAGAAGTCCTGTGTAGTGAACAGTGACGAACAAAGACCCGTCACTGATCTGGATGATAAGATGCGGGGCAGAGGACTCAGCAGCACAAGGCTCAAGAGCCCCGAGCAGGGTTTTCTCATCATATTTATTAATCAGGAAAAGAATGAGTGTGGATAGTAATGCATTCAAAGCAGAAAACAAATGTTATCAATCACGTAACTCCCAGCTATTTAGGGCTCAAGTGTTTCTATAACCAAGGCCGTTCCATGCCTCTAGCGAACTCCAAGGAACAAGTAAGATAGTTCAATTCTTGGCAGCGTGCCACCAAGACATTCTGCATGCCAGCTTGCCAGTCATGCCAGGTTGAACATCTGTGTCCTTATTCCCCTTCATATCGCCAGACCCATGCGTGAGAACAACTCATTTCTCAAGGCCTTCCTCCACAGAAGTTGGTATTCCTACTTTGTGGCAGAGGTGGCCAATTTTATTTCTTTTTTGAAGTAAAAATCAAGAGAGGGTTTGGGCTGGCTGGGGGTGTATATCCAGAAAGAAGATGAGAGGGAGAAACTAAAAACCATCGCTTTTAGACAAGTTTCCTGATGAGACAATGCACAGTCACAGAAAGAGGGCCGTCTGAAAATCCTGAAGCTGAAGAGAAACCATGTTGATGGGTGACTGTCATTTGTCTTTATTTCCCAAGTCTAAATTAAAAGTGAATTGTTGTTGGTTGACTTCTGCTATTTGCACAGGGAATGTAAACGAAATCATTGCCCTTTATGACTTTTCCAGTTGCATCAACTCATGCACTTCTGACGTAAAGAAAATACTAATTGAGAATGAAAAGAGTTGCTAAACAATAAAATGCATAATTATGATGTGTGAAGGATGTCATGTCATCTGTAAATCAAGATGTTGCAATCAAATCTTCAAAGAAACTTCCCTCTAGTTCCCCGAAGAGTTCCCTAAGGCCACGTTAGAAGAGTCTTTGTTCTCTCAGCCCTCACGTCCTGGTCTGGATGCTTCCCAAGTCCGCGTGGTGTCTGGGGGTGTCTGGGCCGTTAGCTCCATCCATGGCCTTCATGCGCAGTGTGTAGTTGAGGTGAAGTTGGGTCAGAAAGGCTTCCGAGTGCCATTTCTGGTTCTGCCCCCGGTTTTCTTTGTGTCTTTAAGCGAAATAGGAAGACATGTCTGTACTTTAGTTTTCCCATTTGGCAAATGAGAAAAACACTATTTTTCTGTCAAATGTCTCAATGCCTGAGTACAAAGAAGCTTCAGACATAGGGGGTGATTCATCGTGAATGTATTATTCCCACTGTTGGCAGATAATCCACCTGTGGTTTTACTGAAAAGATACAGCCTACTTTGATAACTTGCTCATCCTTCTCAGTTTCTGTTGACATGTCTCCATCTCTGTGGTCGTCTGCCAGTTGCAGACAAAAAGGAAGGCATCAGCCTTCTTCCCGTCCAGAGCCAATTCCTTCTCTGGCTCCTTGATCTGTCCTTGGCCTCTTCCTATTTTGCTCCTCACCACTTGCCCCACCACATCTTAGGTTTCCTTTGCAAAAGTTTTCTAATAGGCCCAAGCTTTATTCTATTTGAAAAAGCACACAAGTGCCTTTGCTTGACCTTCCTGTCTCTTTAAGTCTATTTATTGCTTTCCTTTTGCAGCAAGACATCTTAATTTCCTCTTTTGACAAAGCCTCTTAGATTTGCTAGCTTCCTTTCTCCACTGCTGTTGAAATTGCATTCGCAGAGGTCACGGGGTCGGGGGTGGGGTGGGGATGTTGCGGGCCCAGTCCAAAGAGGGTATGTTTTAACCTCATTCTTGTTCTCTCAGGAGCATTGGTTTTCTTTCTGTCCCCTTTTTTCTTTCAACCTTCCCTTCTGATGTAACTGTCCGTTCATCTCCTGGTTAGAATTCTGAGACTTGCCCACTGCATAGCACTGTAGCTAAGAGTCTACGCTCCGACATCAGCCAGTCTGTGGATGGATTCTACCTCTGCCGCTAACAAAATGCATGGCCTTCGTGTCTCAGTTTCCCCATTCTCAAAATGGGGATCATAAGAAGAGTACTTACCTCAGGTTTGTTGTAAGACTCAAACAAGATAGTCTATGTAATATTTATTCCAATGTTTGACACATAGAAATATTTAATAAACATTATCTATTAGCATAGCAACATACCCTAGAGCTTTGAAAATGTAACTTATTTTCCTTTTACAACATATTATCCACTTTATCCCAAACAGGGCCAGACAATGAGTAATTATTGATAAATGGGTTTATACACATTGTTGGAACATCCAGAGAAGAGGAACGATGGGGCGGGGGTCCGGGGGAGGCTCCCAAATTCTGCATGCACCATTATGTAAATTCAGGGTTTTTTTGATTTGTTTTGTTTTGCCAATAAATCATTTAAATTGTTCAGAGCTTAAATCAGTCCTTTCAGGACCTGTGTTTGTGAGCAGCAAGGGGCACCGGCAGTTAAAATTCTAGTTGTTGGTGCACCAATCGGTCAGAATTAGGCTGCTTGGCCCGGAACACAGTGTCCCGTCCTAAGATTAAATGCTGCTCTAACAAGATTAAGAAAGGAAGCGGCACAGCTGCGGCTTTGTGCCCAGGCTGCCTGGAACTCGTCCATTGAGCGATGCTGCCATCTAGTGGCGAACTGGGGAACGGTACCGGGCAGAGCCGTTTCGTTTGGGAAGAAAGAGCCTCGGAATTGCAGTTCTTTCTTTAGAAAGTGTGGTGAAACCTGGGACCAGGGAAGAATAAGGGCGGCAACACAGCAAGAGGGAAGAGGAAAAACACCCCTGCACAGTTTGCGGAAGTAAAGGACACAAGTGATGCTTGTGTCCATCTAGAATAGCCTTGTCGGTATTAGAGGGCGAGTCCCTCCCCCACAATCCCACCTAAACGTTGATTTTTTTTTCTCCTTCACTTTCCAACACTCTGTGTTGACCTGTTATCCTGAACAGATCTTGCTTCACCTTCTCATTTCCCTTTTTCTGTGTTAGGAATTCAGGGCTAAGAAAATTGAACCGAGTCATCTCATCTGGCTACCACCCTGGGACCAGCAGCCCCAGAACCAGCGCTCCACCTGCCGGCGCCAGCACCTCCCCACGTGACAGCCGCAGGTAAGGCACAGCCTGGATTGCGGCAGGAAGAGGCTATGGCCCTCTGGGGCTCCCCAGCCCTTTCTGGATTGTCCCTCCGGTCACTGGTATCAGAGCGATGTTTTCTTTGTAAAACTGAAGTGGGCGACGCTGACCATGCAGCCTTCCTCCCTTTTTGTCTCTTCACAAGCCATGCTAATCCAATCTTTATCAATCTGCCTATGATCAATACATGGATTGTAGGTCATTGCATTGAGTCAGCAAAGCGCTTTAGGAAGGAGGGGACTGAAGGGAAGATATATCGATGCTTCACGCTGAAGTGTGTATATAGTGCGTCCGCACACAGGGCGCACGGTCCAGGAGCGGGGCATGACGTAGAATAGAGTGACGGAAAGCGCTGATTCTGAGTCTGGGACTGCGCCTGCCACCACCAGCTATTTGACTTTGGGTGAGTTGTTCACATTACTCTAAGGCCCCACGACCCTTCTCTAAAATGGGCATAATTAAACCTACTTCTCAAGATTATTGTGGAGATGCAATGAAATACAGAAAAGGCCTCCGATTTGAGAGATTGGGACTGGATTTTAGAGTGTTCATGGAATAACTTGGTTAAAGCAGAGAATTATAAAAGATGATATTTACCTCAAATATTTTATTTTATCTTAAAATATAGAATTCCTTGATCTTTAATGCAGGGACATGGCCTTTTCTTTGCATATGAATCCACTAGTTGGTGTTTTTTGTTGTCTTTCTTGCATAAACCACACATATAATACTTCATTTATAAGCTCTGGTTTTGGTTTCTTTCAATGTAATGAGAATGTAAAGACACCTGGGAAGATGCTTATAAAGTCACTTTCTGCGCAATCATTCTAATTCCAATAATCATTCCAGATTATCAAAACTTTCAAAACTTTAAGGGTCCATATCTAATTATATAGCAATTTTTAAAACAGCTTCTTGTTGAATCTTTCCCAAACATTCAACCTTGCTTTCATAGACAGAACTTTCTTTGTGTTCTCACATTTCATGAAGTTCTATAATATTTAAATTTCACAGTCGCAGTAACCAGTCTGATCGTCATAAACTGATTCTTGGTAGGCGTATAAGGACTAGTGCCGCACAAGCAGGGAGTGAGTACTGTCAGCCGCAACGGTCTTTGGTCCAGTTCACAAAGTTGGCAAGCTGGTTAAGCAGAAGTCAGCAAAAGCAGCTTCTCCTGCAGTGTATGCAAAAGTGCTACATATAGGAGTTAGCATATATAAATGTGTAATAAATGGTGCAATTAATACTATTATTATCGCCGTCAGGGTAATAATAATAAGTTCAGCATTGAAGGGATTGTTAGAAATTGAATAGTTTCTTCCCTTCCTTTTACAGATAAGATCAAAGTGCCTTGTAATTGTGACCTTTATAGTATACCTTAGGAAAGTCTGAAGCATGAGCCAAGATGGGCTATTTGTATGGAAAAGCCACTGGAAATGGGCAAAGTTGTGTGAGGCAGTGTCTCAGAGAGTTACCAGGGTGGATAGAACAGTGTGAGCCAGGTTGATGGAGTCTCGGATATGGCACCCACCTGCCAGCTCTGTGGGGAGGGGGAGAAGGGCTCAGCAAAGGAACATTGGCCTCAGCCAGCACTTCTGTCTGGGAGAAAGCTGCCCATCCTGCTCTCACACTGAAGCCAAACAATTCAGGTCCTTCCCATATGTTCCTGGTGCCTTTCGAGCTGCTGCCCCAGTGCTGGGGTTCAGAGAGAGTGAGTCTGCGTAAGTCCATGCACAGACCCCATAAGAGGAATGCCCAGGATTCCTGAATCCTATGTCTCATTCAGCCACAGCCCCCATGGATTTTTACAACCAGAAGTTATGGGGACTTCTCTTCCTGGGACTGGAAACTTGGGCTGGGGTGTCTGTTTGGGGTAGAGACCTCTCGTTCTTCACGGGACACTTATGTCCTCAGTTGTAGAACTTCAGTCCAGCTAGATTTAAGGCAGTTTTTTTTAAAAGTGTATTTTATTGATTATGCTATTGCAGTTGTCCCATTTTTTTTCTCCCCTTTAAACCCCCCTCCGCCCTGGACCACTCCCTCACCAGCATCCCTCCCCCTGACCTTAGTTCATGTCCATGGGTCGTACATATAAGTTCTTTGGCTTCTCCATTTCCTGTACTATTCTTAGCCTCCCCCTGCCTATTTTGTACCTACAAATTATGCTTCTTATTCCCTGCTACTTTTCCCCTGTTCTCCTCCCCTTCTCCTCCCTGCTCAGGCAGTTCTAAATGATGGTTTTTCTGTAGTTTAGCTGTAACTTTGATGTGGTTTTGGGAAGATGTGAGAACTGCATTTACCAACTTCACCATCTGCATCAGAAGCCATTTTGTTTGATTTTTTTAAAGGAAACTTTTTATTTAAGAATAGCATCCAAGGAGAGTACACAGATCATAGTCTGTACAGCTCAATGTAATTTTCATTTTATTTTATTTTTTCTTTTCCATTTATTATCATTATTTTTTCATTGTTCAAATACATTTGTCTCCATTTTCCTGCCACCACTTTCCCCTCCCCCATCTACCCCCACCTCTTACCCTCAATCCTTCCCCATTTTGGCTTTGTCCATGGGCCCTTTATACATGTTCCTTGACTTGACCCTTCCCCTTCTTTCCCCATTACCCACCACCCTCCTCCCCTCTGGTTACTGTTGGTTTGTTTTTTCTTTCAATGTTGCTGGTTATATTTTCCTTGTTTGTTTGTTTTGTTGATTAGGTTCTACTTATAGGTGAGATCATATGGTATTTGTCTTTCACCCCTGGCTTATTTCACTTAGCATAATGTTCTCCAGTTCCTTTCAAGCTGTCGCGAGGGTAGGAGTTCCTTCTTCCTTTCTGCTGTGTAATATTCTGTTGTGTAAATGTAACATAGTTTTTTGATCCATTCATTTACCAATGGGAACTTAGGTTGCTTCCAACACTTGGCCATAGTAAACTGTGCTGTTATGAATGTTGAGGTGCATAGGTTCTTTTGAATTGGTGTTCCGGGATTCTTAGGATATAATCCCAGCAGTGGAATTGCTGGGTCAAAAGGCATTCCATTTTTAGCTTTTTGAGGAAATTCCAAACTGTTTCCCACAGTGGCTGCACCAGTCTGCATTCCCACCAAGAGTGCACTAGGGTTCCCTTTTCTCCACAACCTCACCAGCACTTGTTGATTTTTTTATGATGGTCACCCTGAGCAGTGTGAAGTGGTATCTGATTGTGATTTTAATTTGCATTTCTCGGATGGCTAGTGATGCTGAGCATCCTTTCATATGTCTCTGAGCCTTGTGTATGTCCTCTTTGGAGAAGTGTCCTTTTGTGTCTTATCATGTGGTCTATCTTTGAAACTGTTCCATGTGCATTTGAGAAGAGTGTGTATTTTGCTTCTTTGGGATAAAAGATTCTATATATACCAGTTAAGTCCATTTGATGTAATGCATTGTGCAGTTCCACAATATCCTTGTTGATATTTTGTTTGGAAGATCTATCCATTGTTGACAGTGGTGTGTTAAAATCCCCTACTATCAGCGTGTTGCTGGCTATATCTTTCTTGAAGTCCTCCAAGATTTTCCTTATATATTTTATATATTTGGGTGCTCCTATTTGGATGCATATAGGTTTACAATGTTTATGTCTTCTTGATGGATTCTTCGTTTGAGTATTATGAAGTGTCCTTCTCGGTCTCTTTTTATAGCCTTTGTTTTGAAATCTATTTTGTCTGATATAAGTAATGCTACCTCGGCTTTTTTCTCCTGTCCACTTGCTTGGAATATTTTTTTCCATCCCTTTATTTTCAGTCCGTGTAGGTTCTTTGTTCTGAGGTTGGTGTCTTGTAGGCAGCATATGTGCGAGTCATGTTTTCTTATCCATTCAGGTACCCTATGTCTTTTGATTGTAACATTTAATCCATTTACATTTAAATTTATTATTGATAGGTACCTATTTATTTTCTTTCCCTTTGTACCTGTGTTTCTCTCTTTCTCACTCTTTTCCTTCATCTTCTTAAAAACAGTCCCTTTCACTTATCTTGCAGTGCTGGTTTGGTGGAGGTGTATTCTTTTAGCCTTCTTTTGTCTGGGAAATTCTTCATTTCACCTTCTGTTTTAATTGAGAGCCTGGTTGGGTAAAGTAGTCTTGGTTGCAGGCCTTTGCTTTTCATTACTTGGAATATTCATTGCCATTCCTTTCTGGTAGTGTTTCTGTTGAGAAGTCAGCTGCTAGCCTTATTAGGGCTCCCTTGTGTTTTATTACCTGTTCCTTCCTCACTACCTTTAAGATTCTCTCTTCGTCTTTGATATTTGCCATTTTAATTATGATGTGTCTTGGAGTGGGCCTCTTTGGGTTCCTCTTGAATGGGACCTTCTGTGCTTCCTGGACTTGTGTGACTTTTTCTCTCCTCAAATTAGAGAAGTTTTCCATCATTACTTTTTCAAACAAGTTTTCAATCCCTTGCTCCTCTTCTCCTTCTGGTATCCATATTATATAGATATTATGTTTCAGGTTGTCCTGCATTTCCCTAAATGCCTCTTCATTCTTTTTGAGTCTTTTTTCATTTTCCTGCTCTTTCTGGGAGCTTTTCTCTACCTTGTCCTCCAGCTCACTGATTTGATCCTCTGCTTCATCTAGCCTGCTTTTGATTCCTTCTACTGTATTCTTCAATTCAGAAACTCTATTCTTCATTTCCTCTCGCCTCTTGTTGATAGTTTCTATGTCCTTTTTCATGCTGATATAGTTTGCTGTAAGTTCCTCATAGCTTCTCTGTAGTTTTTGGTAATTCTCTCTGAGCTCCCTGAGCTCACTGAGCTTCCTTAGAACCATTGTTTTGAACTCAACATCTGATTGTTTATTTGCCTCTATTCCATTTGGTTCTTTTTCTGGGGATCCCTCCTTTCCTTTCTATTGGGGGGTGTTTCTTTGTCTTCCCATTATTTGTGAGACTCTTCTTTTTTGTGTCTGCTTCTTAAATTGATCTATCTTGACTTTCCGACTTTG